TTTTTTTTTTTTTTTTTGTAATTGAAAATGTGTTGAAGTTTAATTTTCTTCCTTTTAATTGGTCGTTTACAGTGGCATCGGTTGTTACAGCGAGTCGAAAATGTAGGTTCTGATTTAATAGAAATCCAGAGGTATATAATTTTGTGTTTGAAAATGTGTGTTTCGAGTGTTTTGTTCTGTTCGTAAAAGTGGAATTTGTTTTAGAGAGATGTAGAACTATTTTAGGATATAGAAATTTTATTAGAAAAATAGAGATTCAATTTATAAAGCTAGAAATTTCATTAAACAAAAGAACACTTCGAACTACTAACAATTAAGAGTACACTATTAAAAATATTATGAAAAAAAAATATATATATAAGAAGAACTAATTAAAATTATTCAAGTTTCAGAAGATCGATGAAATCTTTGTGTAGAATATTTTGTAACCAGTTTGATAGTTACAAAGATTTACAAAGGTTCTGACGTTTTTAAAGAAGGACGATTCACTCCGAAATTTTATAAAAATCCTTAGTGAACATCGAGACCAATAACAAGCTTGCCGAAATTAATCAGAAGATTATTCGAGCGAAAACGAGCCGTGGAGAGCGATTTGATCAGTCATTTCCTGTACGCACGACCTTATCGCGAACGATAACGCTCGATTGCAACCCCTTCCAGCCGATCGAAGTAATTTCATTTCCACGATTAGGTATACTAGATGTGTTGATCATGCCAAAGAAAATTCCTGCGTATTCTAATAAATTAGAGATTCATATTAAACATAATTCTCGCGAAATGGATGATACTTTTTTTACCGGAGATATTTTAAAATTCTTCAATAAGAGAAAAAGAATATATCCAATAAGAACAGTTACTCGTCATTAAATTTTTATTTGCGTTATAATTAATACTTCGAATTTCAATAAATTATTATATGCATGTACATATTGACATCTGATTTCTATTTTCTATGAAATTTTTACTTTACCAAACTTTCCTACGAAGGGTTCTCATTTTCACGTGAATATTGTATTTTTCTTCTTATGTCAGAATGATAGTTAACTTATAAAAGGAACGAAATTCTCAAATAATTAGACAAAAGGAACAAAAATTTTATTCGTCCCGTCATATATCTATGGTCATATACCTGTTTACTCATTGCTTTTGTCAATGTGTGAAATTTGATTTTTACAGAATATTCCATAATTAAAAACATGTATATCATTCGCGAATTTTTAGCTACG